CCATGGCCAATTTTGGGTACGGTAATTTTCTGCGATTTCGCGGGTGCGCGCAATTTTAAAGCTTGACATGTTTGGTGTCTATTTACCCGACGTGACCCGATCTTTTATATGTTACCAAAAAACTGGGTAATAATAAATGTTTCCTAACATAATGTTAAAAAAAACTTTTTTTTCCCCAAATTTTCTGTAATTTTTCCTAATTATAGTAAAAAATAAAAACCCCAGTGGTGATTAAATACCACCGAAATAAAGCTCTATCTGTCCCCAAAAAATGGTATAAAATTCATTTCAGTACAGCGTTGCATGACGGAATAAACGTCAGTCAAAGTACCGCAGCGCTGAATACTGAAAAATGGCCTGGCCAGGAAGGGGGTCTAAACACCTGGTCTTGAAGTGGTTAAAAGGACATTTGAAAAGTTTTTCTAAAGAATACAGACTAATGATTTTAGGGCAGCTTCTTTATAATTACGAAGAACTGTAACTCAATCCATGATGATACTTGCCCTGATACAAAAAATTATTTTAACCAAACCTTATTTAACACTGCTAAGAAACACTTCTCATTGGTCAGCGCGGTCACCTGACTGCACTGACCAACGAGTGCTCGCAATTTGCGAGTGAAATTAAAAATCCATAGCGCTGGGCTGCACTGGATGGCAGTATGGGGTACAGATAGTACACCAATACCGAGGGAGGGGAGGGACCATTCTCCACAAGGTAAGTATAGCAAGGGAAGAAGAGTTGACCAGATTTAAGCGGTGAATTTTATTTTCCCAAATTACTTGAAAAAGTGAACTTACCCTTTAAATGTGCATTGTGGGCGTTCGAGAGCGCTGCTGCCCCACGACCACAATATGGCACACATCAGAACAAGGGCAGCATGTGTTTATTTGCACTCAGATGGCAGGGTTGGTTTTTATTTTAATATTTTTGGTTTTAACTTATGTAGCTTTTTTTTCTCTACCTTATCACTTTATTTTTATTTTATTATTTCGTATTGATCACCTTTTTTCACTTAACTTTATTGATATCACACAGGGGGTTAAACACGCTACAGCAGAGCTACTCAAATATAATCAATTTAGAAAAGCTTTTTAAACTCTTCCATCCGTCTTGCCATTATAGGGCTAACAAGCTACTAAAATAGATAAAATGCACACAACTTACTTTATTTTTAAAGTGCCTGCATCCCAAAGCCAGAAGCAAATTGTTCCATCAGCTCCAGTAGAGGAGAGGAATCGCTTAGATCCAGTGCACAGTGGAGAGAACTAAATAGAAAATAGAAAAATAGCACAAATAAATGACATGGAAAGACAAACTATTGTACATATGCATGAATCCTCATTTATAAAAGTGACTGACCAACAACTTGCCTTTAAACTACCTCCGGGCCGGCCGTAGTAAAAAAAACGGCCAGCCGGGAGCTCTCTAGGTCTGAGCTGGGCGTCTTTAGACATCCGCTCAGACACGCCCCCTCGCGCACGCCGCTGGGAGAGAGGGAAATGCCTGATATTTAAAAACAGGCAGCGATGCCTGTTAACATACAAGCGATCCGCCGGTCCCCC